ACGGGTGTTGTTTGTGTTTGCATGGCGGTGTTTGGTTGGTGCTCTTTTGCTTGCTGCTGCAGCAGCAGCAGCAGCAGCAGCAGCACTGCCTGGCTGCATGCCCATAGCTGTTGCTTTTGCTGTTCCTGGTCCCGCTGCTCCTGTTGTTTCTGCTGCTCCTCCATCCCTGCTGCTGCTGCTGTTGCTGCTGCTGCTGCTTCCCTATTGCTGCTGCAGCATTAATTGCATCTGCAGCATTATCTGCTGCCACCTTCCCGTCATTATCATCCCCATCATCATCAGCATGCATGCATGCGTGCATGCATAGAGCAGCAGCAGCAGCAGCAGCAGCAGCAGCATGCATGCAGCAGCATACATACATACATACATACATACATACATACATACATACATAATACCAGCATCACGCATGCATCATTGCATGCATGCATGCAATGATGCATGCATCAGCAACAGGAGCATGCATGCATGCATGCATCAGCAACAGCCCCCCACATGCATCCATCTCCATACATGCATGTATATATATATGTATATATATATATATATGAAAGTAAGACTATTGAAATTTTTCATCAGTAAAGTATTCTCTATCGAACGAATAAAGCCGCACATAACCGTCTTCACCTCCGGAGGCGTAGCCGGAGCCGTCCGGTCGCCAGGCTAAAGTGTGTAGAGGCCCGAAGTGACCCTTGCAGCTCGCTATCTCTTCGCCCCGCACCACGTGATACAGCAACGCCTCAAACTTACCCTCTCCGCTTGCTGCAGTACACATATCATATATATACATCTATATATATATATATATATCTATATATATATATATCTATATAGGTATATATACATATATATATGTATATATATCTATATGTATACATATGTATAGAGATATATATATATATATATCTATAAAAAAAAATAATAATAAATAATAATAATAATATACACTTATATTTACCTAATAAATAATAATGCATTAAAATATTTTATTAAAAATGCAGATACTAATACTAAATAATAAAACCTATATATATATATATATATATATATATATATCT